TCATTCTTTTCTAGACATTTACTTTCTATTGAGTCCTTGGTATCAGGCCCCCCCCCAAACCTCAGATGGATTATACATTGTTTTATTTTCATCTCTCACACAGACTACTGTCTCCCTTCCCCCATGTTTTCTGTTGTCCTTCCCACTGTAGAGGGGTGTATGGTTATGTGTCAATCATTGGGATTGGCTCCTCCCTTCTCCCTTCTTCTCCCCCCCTCTCCCCCCTCCCCTTCTGGTATCACTATTCCCACTGCTGTTCCTGTATTCTGTGTGTCGTGAGCTCCCATCCCTTTCTATAACTGTCTACACATTCTAGTTTTGTTAGGAAATCTTACCATAGCCAACCCTCGAGCCCTGATGTTACCACTTCAGACTTATTTTTGTTCTAAAAGCTGAAAGGAAACTTAAAGTGTACAATTTGAGTATGTCAAAAATGGCAAAATTATCATTTTGATGTGGTGTAAATCAAATAGCACAGAATTCTTTAGGGACAAGTAAAAGTAAAAGAGAAGGAAGCATTGCCTTCAAAGGAATATAGACCTACATGGAGGATATGTTGAGAAACAAAAGCGACACTTTCTGATATATTTGTTTAATAAAGGTATCTATAATTTTGTGGCAATACTTTTTTACTTAACTTCATACATTAAGATGTGAAAACTTGTTTAGGATTAAATTTGAAAACTTTTTCTATACTGTAAAGTCATATTTTTAAAGGTCTTTTGGGTTCTGAAATATACTCCCATTTCAAATTACTTTGTTATTTCATTTTCACTCTAACTCTGAAAATAGATTCTTCTAAAGTCAAACTCATTATGTGACAGTCTAGAAAACTCATTCCAAGGAATAGTACATGCTCACTATTGACCTCAAATTTTATTAAATGTAATAATTCTACAGCTGGTTATTTCCAAGTAAAATGTTATTTTTCTGCAGACCCTTAGTAATGCTTATGGAAGAGCGTTATTAACTAGCCTTTCTCTCTTGGGTCGGTCACTGAGGGTCCTCATTATCTGTAAGGGTTGGCTCTTTTCCCAGTTTGCACTATTCAATCTTCCACATGACATGAGTTGTATTATTCTGCAAAAGATACTTTTATCTACAGTGATGGGTGCAAAATATTCTAGCATGGAGTACAAACAATTCTGGCTTCACATCCCTACTTCTAGAAAATAAATGAGATTACAAGTGTAAATCCAGTATGCTATATAGATGCCTTCTACATACATTCCTAATAATGGCACAGATAACTCAGTAGGACAACAATAATAAGAACTCACTACCATCAAGTCAATTTCGACTCACACAGAAACCCTATAAGGCAGGGTAGAACTGCCTCTCTGTGGATTTCCACGACGTTAATTCTTTAAGGGAATAGAGCCTCATCTTTCTTCCGAGGGGTGGCTAGTGGTTTTAAACTCTTGACTTTGTGGTTAGCAGCCTCCACTACACCACCCTAGGACTCCTCATAGTTTTTATCTCTGATAAAGAGCTCAAAGTGTTTAACAAAAGATATATAGTCAGGGTGCGATGTAGCAATGATGAAAAATACAACTTTCCTCTAGTTCCTAAATGCTTTCCCGTCACCTCCCACCCCCCACTATCATGATCCCAATCCTACCTTGCAAATCTCGCTAGACCAGAGGATGTACACTGGTACAGATAGGAACTGGAAA